GGAGTTTCATTTCTAAAACAGACGAATCACTATCCAGACTTCAGTACAGTTTTTCGGTGTGTCTAATTCCGAAAACAGTTGGTTTTTGAGAGTCCACTGCGCACCCACAATCTATGCGTTTTATTAGTACGGTTGATGAAGTCTAAAGGTTTCTGACGATAGTGCGTTATAATCCATAAAATTTCTTTTATGGAGTTTGTCCATCGTCTAAATTTTAACACTATCACAGGTCCATGTCGGGCTAGCTCAGAGAGGGGCGCAGCATATAGGATGTCTGTCCTCTTCATCTCAACCTGAGGACGAAAGCAGAACCCAGCTTCCGACATATTGTAGTTTTATTTTATAATTAAGACGTTGGGCAAGTCCAGCAGAACGGTTGTACATAATTTTACCTTCTTTTGTAGAATCCGAAGGTTCATTACCGTTTACACAAAAACTCATTACTGCTCCTGCCCTGAGCTTTGTAAACTATGAAACATCTATACATGTTTATTATAGGATACACGAATTAATGATAGTCGCCGCTAATCGTAAGGGACCGTTCCATTTGACTTGAAGTCGTTTTATTTTTGGGGACATTTTTGGCATGTGTACACGCGAAAAAAATTTACAATTCCTTCCCAGTTGAACTTTGCATTGTATTCGTCCAAAGTTTCCAGACAAAACTGCATATTATTTTGAGAGATTTATGCGTCTTGCCCCCTCCCCAAGGAGTTTTGTTGGACAGTAACTTTTACCACCATCTTAGTTAATATAGGAACTCTTCATAATGCAAACTGAAATGAAAGTCAATATTTCTACACCATTAGACAGGAAATCATTTTATGTATGTCGTTCACCTCTGCTTAGGCATGTGAACGTGAGTCCAGTAGCCAAGCTAGTCGGCTTTGGCTCTCAGAGGGCTGTTACGCCACGGATTTAATTTAATTTTTAATTTTATGTCTAGAACATCAGCATTTCACGTGTCTAATAATAGTTACAATAATAACAACGGCAAATAGTAACAACAGCAGTCACAGTTACAATTATAACAACTGTTACGTCATCGATGAAACTTTAATTCGAGTTTGACGAAAGCGACCAAGGGGAGAAATGTTCAGCGGGAATTGAGATTTAAGCATTCATATTTCTATGAGACTAATGCACAACATAAGTAGGATTTGCGGTTTTTACGACGGTGAGTCTGATTATGGCTGTTTTCTAGGCTGTTGCGCCGTGTAGTCTGGTAGAAGTTTATCGACGTTTCAGTGGTCCTTGCTGCCTCCATCATCGGGGCGATCTCAGCTTCGTGAGAAATGCTTTAGCGCCGACCAGGCGGCACGTTGTCAAATATCGGTACTAGGTCTTTTATCTTTATTTGTGGCTTTCCAACAATGCAAATTGTGTTACATATGAATGTACTGACAGAATAAGGTAATTTTAAATATTGCCATACCCGGTTTAATGCATAAGGCGATCTTCTTTAGAATATGTGACCATACGGGGCTATTTCTTTAAATAATAGAATAGCTTTCTCATGCCATTCTTTGACTTTTATATCGGAATTTAATAAAAATAATCGTAGTTCAGCGTCTTTCAGTATTTCTTTTGTGCTGAACACCAAATTTCGTGTGCCAGTTAAGAGGTTAAAGTCCTGTTATTATTTACGTTTCCATGTTTATTAACGATTATTTTACAAGATTAAACTAATGTAGGCCTACACGTATTTACAAAAAAATATGTAGGCCTAATTATTATTCATTAAACTTGTCGTAAGAAAGAACCTTTTTAAGAATACCGTTGTTTTGGTGTTGTTATCCAGCGCTAAGAGCAGATGAGTGCAGATGAGCATTAGTTTTATCCCAGTCCACATTCTCACCACGGGGTTTATTTGTGCATGTTTTTTGCACTTGCATGTCTTTTACGTCTCTCATTCCAACTGACGTCGGCTGTTAGGGATTTGCTACCTCAGTACGTCTCAAGCACGAGACTGTCTGGTAAGTGTAGTTGCGATGTAGTGACGTTGTGAAATACGAGCTTTATCGTAGGGAAAAATAAAAGTTAATTTTGCCATTGAAGAAGGCTGTGAAATATTTACTCTGGATATGCTGTGTTTAATATAAACTGGATGATTCTTTTTGAACTTGGGAGTTTGTCCCCGTAAGTGTGTGATATTTGTACAGTAGACAGACTGTGCAGTAAAATTTCAGTGAATATTTTTCATAGTAATATCTGGGCCAACGATACGTCGGTGAATATTTGGCTGTGAATTTGATTCCCGCCAAGACTTTGGTCCGTGTATAAAATGTCGCTGGACTTGCTCCAGTTCAGGTACAAATAAAGAAATTGGTAGTAAATTATTGGAAGATTCTCTGGCTAGTGTTAAATCCGGCCCTTTAAGAACATGGTTGCTTGCTTTTAGTTGTGTTATATGTTTTCATAATTTAAAATTTATTCATGAAAGAACTTAGCTTTGTGCTTCTCATTTTTCATCGATGACAGATTTGTTTTTTTACATTTGTATTAAAATTATTTTCTGTATTCCATTTTAAGTAAACAGAGCGACATTGTTTAGGAAGATTTCCACTTAATATTTCAAGTGAACATTGACGTGTATTTTATAATTTATATCTTAATTGCGTCATGTTTGTGTT